GTTTATCCATGATAGTTAGCTAACGTGTGTGTGGCCTCTATAAAGTATGTAAACACTTGTAAATTTGAGGAGCAATAAGAAGGGAGGAAACGTAAAATCGAAGTTGTCGTGCAATATTACGCTTATATTTCGGGTTGTAATGAAGAAATCAGAGAACAATTACCAACAAGATTCGAGGTTATCAGAATCAGCGGAAGAATGTTGTCACACTCAAATTATTCGCTGATCTCAATAGTCGAGGGCTTGCAAGGATCAGGAGTTCTAATTAATGGCCTGATATCACCCGTATGAAGGAGTGAATTGGATTAGAATAAGCAAGATGTTCAAAGCCAATGACAAACAGCTCCATTCAGAAACGATTTCGCGTATTCTCTAGATGTTCCTACTCAGAATCGATTCTCGTAATTTCATCATTTGTTGTTGAGCATAGAACATTTCTGGACAAACTTGATTGTGAGGATCCTGTCAGTTTCAATGCGGTTCCCCACGATATTCCTATTGTAATCGAGCGATTGATCAGCAGAGATGCAGCAAATAAAGCTGAGCGCCGCAATACAATCACTCGTCTAGATGACTTACGTTCAGAAATTCACGTTTATATGTGAAAATAAGCAAAACCGCTCGGCAATAGATATATTTTTCTGAAACTAGACTATATGGATATTCTGACGGCGTGGAGAGATTGGTATGGTTCTGAACAAGCCTCAGGACCTTATTAGTTTCACTGTAGTGCTCCTGATATTTCTATTATGATCGGTAGATTGATGGACGGTGATACAACATATAAAGTTGAGCTGTTCAATGTCATCCCTCGCTAGACGATGTATCTTCTGAAAGTCAAGTCTATATCTGAAATTAAGCAAAACCGCTGCACAACGTGTATGCGTTTCTGAGTCTGAAGGAACTACAGTTTCCGATGGTGTTGAGGAATTGGTATACTTCTAGGCAAACGTCAGCACCATGGTAGTTTCAATATGGTGATTCCGATATTCAATGGTGCTTGCGACTGGTTAATGGAAAGTGATATAACGCACAAAGCTGAGCGGCCTAATGCAAATCACTCATCTGAATGGCATAACTTTAGAAATTCAGATAAATGTCTGAATCAAAGCATATAGCATTTCTCTGAAGATTGTGAATCTGGAGATTCAGATGGTGTGCAGAAATTATTAAGATTCTATGCAATTACTGGGAACAACAGAAACAGAACAGAAATATCACTAATTAAGAGTCAATTTTATCTTATCTAACCAAAATTAAAAAACCAACCAATATAGATAATGAAAGAACAGAATAAAGTGATACGTAATAATGGGTAAAAAAAGTAGCAGAAAACAATTAAATTAAATTAAAACAAAAAGAGAATGTGAACCTGAATAAAAAATAACTTGAATCAAAATAATAGAGATGGGTACGCTAACGAAAAAAAGTTAGCACGCTATTCGCTAATCCGCTATCATAGCAACTGTAAGCGTTATTCGCTATCGCTTTCATCGCCAAAAAATAGCGGAGCACTATTCCGCTAAACAAGTAAAATTAGTCCGCTATTCGCTATCGTTAGTTTGAAATTTTCTCTCAAAATTTGCAATTGCACCATTTATTTGTATGGAAAAAAACCTCATGACGACATTAAACAGCTGAAAATTTTTATCGAATCAATCAACAAGAGATAGTCATTCAAACAACGAGCGTCAGTCAATAACAAAATAAGCTCTAATCATGAGAAATTAACCGAACGACGACAGCAAAATTCGGAGGTGACAAGCAGTGAGTTGGCGACAGCTCACATTATACTTTCTCACTTCCCTTTTAAAAATATCAACATGCTGAACATTACTGTTGAAATTCTGGATCGTTTAGATCTTATCGCCTGTTGGCTGAAAATCCTGAGCTGAAATCCTGAGATCCTGAGCTGATCCTGAGCAGTCCTGAGCTGAAAATCAGCGATCATCTTACGTATATGTAGCAAAGATTCTGAAGTGAATCCATAAAACTACTATCCCATCTTATTAACCTGCTCAAGTTCTGAAGTTTTAGAAAAAATAGCTGCAGTCAAACTGACAAACCATTTTACAACTGTTTTCCAGTTTCCAGTGTGCTTTTCTAGATAGGAGATCAATCAATGCGGTTCCACTTTGATCATAGCAAAATTGGATACTCATTTATGCAAAGGAGGCTACACCGACATTACATATTTCGATTCTAAACAAGCGTTTGACTGGGTATCCATACCGAAATTAGACTTAAAATTACAAGCATACAACATACGAGGTCGCTTGGCCAATTGAATCCCAGATTTTCTTATGAACCGTTTTCAATCAGTCCAAATTACTGATTCATCCAACTCTTCAGATTACATCAGCAGTGGTGTTCTTCAATGTTCTTTTCAATTTCCTATTCTAACTAAAAAGTGCCTTTTTCCAAACTCAATATGCCTCATGTTTGTGGATGATGTTAAGGTCTTCACGTTCTCCAGCAACTAATAAACTATATTTAATTTCACAGAGCAGATGCCATCAAATTGGCTTTTACTGATAGCTTCAGTATGAACGAAATTGATTAGAATTAGATAGAACAATCCTAGTAACCCCCTCAACATCCACAATTAAAAATTAGCTCCCTCCTTATTCACACAAGACCAAGGCGTCATAAGTGACCGAAGTTTAGAATTTCATCATCACATTTCCCGTATAGTTAAAAAAGCTAACGCCAGAGCATCACTCACATTGAGAACGTTAAGCTTAATTACCTCATCCTTACTAAGCGAAGTATGTAACCTAAATTCGCCCACCCTACAATATTCTTCTTCCTCTTGGTCTTTCTCAGATCAATACAGTAACAAACGCTACGATAGTGTCACTAAAAGTGTTCAAAGAAGATACACACGTTTCGTCTTGAAGAGGCAGTGTGGGAACGTATCCGATTACCAGTGGAGATTATCAATATTAGGATTAGAAACTTTAGAATTACGAAGATTTTATATTGATCTTTGAACACACTGCAACATCATTAAACTTCAGGGTGATCTACCGATGGAAGAGTTTTGGAATTCCCTTAAGCAGTGAACGAATCCACTAAAATGATTCCCTTAAACTCGCTGTCAAACATTGCAAATGAAACATGACAAGAGTCCCTTTCGCAAATAGGATCGTCAGAGCCTGCAATCTACTCTCCCGATATATTGTCTCCTTACGGTTGATCCAAATCGTACTCCGATCAGTTCCACCATATGAAATCCGCTTCTTGTCCCTGTTAAAATTTCGTTTACTACTTAACAAGGGGAGTGCGAAAAATTGAAGAAGAATCTATTTCACCCACTTACTTTTAATCATTCCCATTTTATTATTATTATTATTATTATTATTATTATTATTGTTTTTATTATTATCATTATTATTATTACGAATATTTATATTATCAGTGACTCTAAACTGAACGGAACCTAAAATAGAGTTCGAGAATTGAAATTTTCGGAAAATTCTCCGTATAAACATCGAAGAAATTTTCTCGAACATAATATGTTCTTTTCCGAAATGAGAAGAATATTGGAGTTATTGGAATGGCAAATGAAATAAAATTTTTGAATAACACAAACCTTTTGAAATTCGAAAACGTGAGAGACTGAAACTGCATTTCTCAAAAAGATTACGAGAAAATGAGCTAAGTGTTTGTTTTCTGATGTGAATGTTCCTTTCAGAAATTCATCATATAATGAATAGATTATCAAAGGAACCTTTGAAGTTTTTGTCCAAGATGGAACTGAGAAAATCCAGTTACAGTTTTGAAGAGAACTGAGAATATTTGAACACTTGTGAAAAAGATCCAGTCTGATGGCTGTGGTTAATAAGACTCTCACGGAACGAATCTTGAAATGTTTAAAGAGCCAGAAATTTTGTTGAATAGAATGTGATGAGAGTGATAGCGGCGATGTTTTTCCACGGACAACTTTCGGAAAGCAAGACAGACGGCGTTGTGCGGCAACGGCCCAAGTCGATCAGTTTTTCCATACCAATCAACTATATGAATCAGTCTGAAGTGTTACAAGTTTAACATTCTTAAATTCTCGTACTCTTCTTCCTTCATCGTCCAAGCCAATGGCGTAATCAGGGAGGGGGGAGCAGGAGGCATCAAGACGGACAAGGGAGGAGGCGCAGGGGTATCGAGACAGATCATGTTGTTTGCAGATGATATGCTCTAGTTTGAGAGCATTATCGTTCTTCTTTGTGATATTCAAATTTAGCGAAATCTCTTTTTTTTTCTACTGGGAAGTACCGGAAACGATCTCACCCATTTTCAATCGGTATATGCCATAATCTCTTAAACTATTTCCTGTATGTCTTCGAGTAAATTCCCGTCAAAAGAATTTTGAAATGCGTATATCCCATCATTCCTCTCATACATCCACTCTCCCTTTTATAAATTTCCCCATCACCCCCTCCCTCTTCCGAATATATGTTGATAATGTGCTTAACTCACTTAATGATACTAAGTATCGATAAAATAGATGCGTTGTTGATTGAATTTAATAGTTGTTGTTGTTGTGTGTTGCTATGAGGTACAATGGTCCAGGTGCATTTTGTTTTCGTTGTTCACCTCTCAGCTGCTACTATTTCCGAGATTATCAATTACCTCTAATCGTCCGTTCTATCTTATATTATCATAAAAAACCATTTTCCTTACATTCTTTTTCCATCCCCTACTCGAAATATGCCATCTACGTTGCGATATTACTTAGATGTACGACCAGTTGATTATGTGAATTCTTTTTGACCGTATCTTAATGGATGGTTACTGGGGTAGGACGATGTTCGTAAGTGCTGAAAGATCATCGAATTAATTTGCATTAAGAGAGATATGTTCTAAGTTTAGAGCGAAGATCAGGCACGAATCGCATTGCATTATATTGGTATGCTGGAGGCGGTACGATGATGTTCAAAAGTGATGATTGTGTGCATTGTTAAGCAAGTGATCGAGAAACAGTTGTGCGCTTGTTGGTAGCGATGTGGCCGTGGGCAACGATTTGTGCCCATTTATTGTTGTTATGCACGTTGTTCGTCGACGCACAACACCATCCCTGTGCGCTACCGCAAATTGCCTGTGCAGCACGTCTTAGATCATATCCACCCACCCCACAACCTTCTGCAGACGATAGCTCTGGATTAGAGGCATCTGGCTGGGACGATTCACCTGTTTATGATGAATTCCTTTTACCGTTATCGCCGTTCGACTTCACTGCTGACGCCAATGTCACTCACCACGAGATATGCGAATGTGCTTCGGATTCGAATTGTTCATTTGCAAACGAAGATCATGTAATTCAACTTGATCCTACCATTGAGCTGGCCTTCTGTCATCGAACCGAAGAGATATTCAAAATTCCATGTCGCGGTCGTCGTGGAGTGATACGTGTGATTGGACGTATTCACGAAACGGGAGAAGCGTTGACTTCAATCAACGAGTCTGTTATATTTTGCAGCTGTGAACGAGGTTATCAGCGAATTCGTGTTGAACCGTGGATAAACGATTTGTATGCATTCATTTACAAATGCGTTTGAAGGGAGCGTTGTTGTTGCTTTGTTACATTATCGTTCTTGGAAATGTTCATTAATTGAGTGATTGTTTATTCCTCATTTAAACTTCTATGAAAAGAGTGATATAGTTATTGGTAATTTCTCATCTAGTCCAACAACTTTTGAACCTTTAGAAATGGATCAACAACGGGCAAACGGATTCGTGATTTATTCTTACATTTAGTAAGTAAACGCTACTGATCGTTACTGTTGGTCAATTGGTACTTTCTGCTTTTTTCTCCATCCGAATTTCTCTTTCACTGCAGCATTCAGTTTCTGTAAATAGATAGTTAAAATGTAATAGATCTATCTTTTCGTAAGATGTCAATGCTGCATCAATGCCATATGCAACAAAGGTTTCGTAAGCTTTAAGATATCAACTTTAAAAGTTATCAAACAAACATCTGATTGATTTTAAGAGCGATTATTGAAGATAAAAAATGGGTGATATGCTAATCAATCCTATGTTAGGGAAACTATTGCTTATTTCACCATAAAAAATGATCTTATCACGAATGTTGTTGAAACGAAACAAAATCTATGTTTTGATTTTATTGTATCGATTGTTCATTTTTCTTTGCAGATCACCAAATTCTTTTCATTCATAGGGAGCATAACATATTTTGTATAAGTTTAATCGTTGCAGATTCTGTTTGTGTCTCATACATAATGCTGAACAGATTTTGATCGCAAAAATTACTTCAGACTTCAATGAGAAGCGCCTTTGGATGGTGCAAGCTCTGAAGGAGGTCTTACTGCTTGCGTGATCTAACTGAAACTTAAAAATGCAGATTTATGCGCCTCTATTCTGAAATGCCTGAAATTTTCGCTTATCATTGAAGACTTTATGCTTCCGGCCGAAGCAGTGTATGCGTGCATGTGCCGAAAGTTCTCTTGAACTGTGCAAATCTGTATTGGTCGAGACATATTCTAGGAGAATCTCTTCCTGCCGGGTTTCTTTCATCTGTTGTATAGGATTTTTTTGGAAATGTGTATCGCGAATCTCTTTTGAATATGTTTGGATTGCTGTTCGGTTTTGATTCAGTTTCGTCTTGAAATGTAGTATATTTTTGTTTTAAAAAAATAAATGATTGTTTGTTCATGAATGCTTTCAATTCCAACAGCGCGAAAGATCATTCAATTCGTTCTTTCACTTCATCATGTTTCACATTTTTTTGTTTACAAGATGCATATTCACTAGTCTGTTTTATTTTTCGTTTCTTCACGAACACTCATTGTTGAATAAAGAAAACTGGAAATTATCAGCAGTTGGACGCATAACTTAGGTTTTTCTTCTACTCTTGCTTAATCAGACGAAAAAGCTATACAACGAAAATTGAATTAGATAAATTCATGAAGACTCGTCGTTGAGCATGATATTTATCAAAAAATGAATTTATTTGCATTTGATTCATATTAGAATCTATCAATCGCTTGGTTGTAATTATTTGATATTTTTAACTGATGGTCAGTACATTGAGTATCTATTTGGCAACGGCCTTTTAAGTCAATTATTTACGTGACTGTTCATATAAGTTTGGCACTACTGCTTTGTGTGCCTCATTGATTATTCGGTTACAAAATCAAACTACTCTGATGATATTACACAATTTTGCATGCATACATTTTGATGATTCGATTCATGTTGATGTTAACTGGCAGCTTGAAGTGTGACAGATAATTTGAACAAGAGATAATTTGAATGGAGCAATTTTATCTCGAATAAATAATCAATGAGTATTGAAACGAATGAAAACACGTGATGATATTAAACAAAGCATTTGTTTGGGTGGATGTGATGCGTGTGTAGTGATATGAATGAATGTAATAAACGAATGATAAATAAAACAAAAATAAAATTCATGAACATGATTCAAAGAAAACCTACACTAAGACACTATAACGTGTTGTTTCTTACTATAACTGTTGACTGCAATATTTATTATCATTGTTCTTCTCCAACAATCCTCATTTTTAAGTGGTTTCGTTTGGTCAGCATCTTAAACTCGACAGACAAAGTCAGTATACAGTTTAAGTACACCCAATGTTTTATAGAGAATACTTTTGCTAACAATTTTTTGCGTTGATCCGTAACTGTTATCTACAAGTTCTGTAGTTATATGAATTTGTTTGGTCGATGATAATATGAATTTTGCTCATTTGGGTACTTTACCAGCCATAAAGCCATCAATTTCCCAACAAACAGCTTTAAATAATGATTATACGAAAACAACATGAAATTGTGTTTTGGAACTGAATTTGCTTTGGTCGCATGTGCTAGTGCACCAGCCATTTTCTAACAATGAGGATTATATTCTGAAAGGAACAATAATAATAAAGTGCGAGAGAGATGATACTGGATAAGGTTGTAATCATCATTGGTTTAGGTGGTTAATTAACTGACATTGTTGTTCAACGCTTAAGAATGAGCACCGCATAAATAAATCAAGCGTTGAATATCGAATCTGCATATCATCGAACCATCAGAAGTTCATTTACCGCTGAAATATTCATATATTCAAATTGAAACGTCCTTTCACATCACACAAACAATAATCATTTATCATCAGTAAGAATTTGATGATAGAATATGTACATGAATAGTTGTATCCAAAAAGTGATAGAAATCAAAAAAAAAATTGTAAAGTGTCGATAATCAACGAGTATACTCAAGATGATGCTCGTCGTCAGACGGTGATAATGCTGAAGATGGATGATCGATATAATAAATGAGGTTGATATCGTCAGGCTCATACGCATCACAAGCGGCTAACATGTGCTTTAACGCACTTTGAAGACTCATTTCATTCACTTCTTTTTCGGAGAGTCGATAACGACGTTTTATGAACACCTGTTAATGATCGTTGCCTTCAGTTCATTTATTTGAGAATGATGAACTAAATCTATTTCAAATTTCATTCCTTCACTGGAACAATTTAGCCGAGCCTTTTATAGAATGTAGCGACTGATGAGAAGGCGTGAGGAAAAAAGAGTTTGCACAACATTACAACTTTTTTACAAAGCTTATTAGCACATCTTTCATTTACAGTGGACACGTGATAGTATTATCTGCGAATGGAGCATATTATGATAAATAGTACTTTCAAATAACTTGGTTGGCAATAAACATATCAAATTGAGATGCGAATTAAAGGAATTTACCGATAATCTGATGAGGTCAGAAACGGTTGCTTGTGCTGATTTCATTTTACGTCCGAAGAAGTGAATTTTTCGAATGTAATAAGCAGCACTTGTATCGATGCACATTGACGCTAGTGCAAGACCGACAAGAATGTAAGCAATCGTTACGGGAAACATTTCGGTACGCTCCGGAACGATATCACCGAATCCTTGAGGGAACGAATCAAGATTACCATCATAACAATACTAAGTGAGAATGAGTGGAAAGTAGAGCGTATAAACATACATATAAGTTGCTATCATCAAATTTTTGTAACAACCAGAGTCACTGCTGTTTGGAGTCGAGGAGCAGCTTGCACGAAATAAAGGAGCTAAATGAAACCTTCAACAGAACGTAACAAATGATGCATACCGATAGAAGACATCGAAATGAATGCCCAATAAAATGCTTGACCAAATGACCATTTTTCATACGAATGCAACAAAACGGCACCAATTGTCATGTACGCAATCATGAGCAGTAATAACGCTGAGACTGGCAGTGGTCCGTTTGTACATGAAAATTTTAAATGAGTTAGATGTGATAACAATCTACAATGAATAAGATTAGTCAGTCGTCTGAGGAAACGTTATCTTACCAGAGCCTTTACCGCGTCGCATCAGACATCTTAGAGCATCACCGATAAATTTACCAGCATCTGCTACAGTAATCAACATCAGAGGAATGCCAAAAATGCCATAAATAATGCAAACAACTTGCCCTTGTGTTGTTGATGGTACTAAATTACCGTATCCTATAAGTGCATTATCGTTGCAATAATCATAAAACCAGTCCTCAATCGAATTGCGAACGAATAAACATACGATGTGCTTAATCTATGATTAGAAGTAATCACTAAACACAGAAGTGGGAGATGATCAAACAAAAATGCAGTTTACTTCCCTTTAGTCAGCCTTTAGTCTATGCAGAGTTACAATTCAGTCTCACCTGCTTCAACTATTCTCAGGCTGCTTAGATCTAGAGAAGGCTGAATTGTATCCTCATTCTCTGAAGACTTCATAGTTTGACATACTTACCGATAGTGGTAATCATACTAATGCAAAAGAATATTGCTGTTGGAAAAGACCAAGTGAGTTGCTCATCAGCTGTGTAACGTCGTTGAAACCAACTGATAAGTAGACGAGTGGCATTGTCAATATACCTCAACGCATTCTCTTCCCATGCACTTTGGTTGTCACGTGACTGCTCCCAAAGTGATACCATTAAGCGGTGCCTTTCCGTCCGTATCTCATTTTCAGCCTGAAATTATTTTTGATGTTTAATTCCAGTGGATTTGTTCCAATCGAACCAGCAACAATAAACATTCATCGAAACAACAATGTTTAAAAAAACAGTTGCAAAATCATAAATGAATTACTCAAGTCAGAGAACGTATTTGGAATATGCAGATGATTCGTCTGAAGTAAATACTTCAATAAAGCGACATTTAGTGTAACATTCAAGGAATCACATCACTTCTGTCTACGATATCAAAATAAATTTTTAAACAACATTACAATATTGCTTCAAGTTTTCACTTAATTTGCATGGAACATTCGAATTGATAGACCTTATTCCTCATAATCTTTTCTTCAGAAGCTTCAATCAAATAGAAGAACCATGCACCAGCGAGCACATAAAAAACGCAAAACGTTACTAGGCCCACATGTGGCAATACAATACGAAGTGTCTGAAATAGGAGAACATTATGAACGATATAAAACGACATATTTTCGTTTCATTGATATACAACAATAACAGACGGACTTGTTACCTTTTTCCAAGACTTCTTCTCGTGCTCAATAAAGAACGGATAAGCAGGGTGAAGGCTGAGGTGTTGCGGACAATGCCGTGAGGTGACTTTACGATGCGGGCCAAGTCTCGGCATTATTTTCTCCAAATTACACGCCAAATTGATAAAACTCTCCACTAGTTAGGGCGATATTCAATATGGCAATGGCAATAAATCTGCATTTCATAAAATACCACAAACTCTTAAACCATATCTTGATTGACTGTAGTTCAAGTTTATTTGCATGCTGTCTAAATCAAATTTTACAAGACTCCAATAAAAATACCTCTACCTTGAATACGTCTCGTTTATAACCAACCAACGAACGTTATCGTACCGTAAAACGCAAGTATTGGTATTCACTTTTCACTTAAAAGTATATTCACTTTTTTCACAAATATTCACTTTTTAAAATTCTCAGTTATGCATTATGCTGACCGCTGACCGATGTATGATAGCTGTACATTGTATACCGAAATCGTGAAATCTTTCAGTGGTATCGAGAAACGTCCCGAGGTGATCCCGTTCATTTTTTGAACAAATTGTTTTTGGACACGTTTTTATATTTCGATCATGTTCATGAACTAAATTCGCATGGCAAAATGCATATTGCCGACGAGTATGGACATTTCGAAAATCCATTTCGAGTTAACCAAAAAAACTTGAAAATGTAATTGATCAAACTCTGGTTATTTTTGAATTCAGTTGCGCAACGTTGAATAATCGAATGGCTCAGAAAGATGAATATTTGAAATGACACATCTGATGCGTTCACTAAATCGATCACATTGAAAGATTTGTTGTAATTATGGGAATTTTTTTGAGATTTTGATAGTGAAATATTATAATTGAAAGTTTGTTTCGTCAAACATAAAAAGGAGAGGAGTTGAAAAGAGATGTGAATTAAATGGTAACGAACAAACGAAACGAATTGCTCGCTTCATTTGATATTAAATTGACTTGCCATGTGCGTCAACGAATGAAGGAACGTTTCATTTCGAAAACGAATCAAGCCCACGGATCACTGTTCACTTATAATAGCTGCGACTATCCTTATTCGCGGAGACAAATGAAGCAAGACCGATGCATTTGATCTAATTGCACTTTTCTCTCTCAATCCTCTTTCCTTAATCAGTAGCATTCGAATGAGATCTTCTCAACTATGTTTACCACCTTTTACTTATTTATGACCTAACACTAAGAAAGCTTCAAAATATGAAAACAAAGCTTGGGAATTTTCATAAATAAGCTGAATGCGGTGATGAAATGAAGTTGAGCATGGCATTTTACATACATCCTACGCATGTACACAAATTCAAATATATAGCCAGTTTACGTGATGGAATATTAAATGAATAGGATATACTGCTATTATGCGATGTGTACATAAACACATAAACGCATATCATTAACAGCTATGTTTTTACGGATTGCGGATATAAAACCGTCAATTGCATGTTTTTCTACTTGCTCCGGTCAATTTCTGTCCAATATAGCGAATTCAACTTCATAATTATTTGTTTCTTTGGAAGTGTTTCAGGCTTAATGACGCTACGTTCGGTCTAAATGAAAAATTTTCAACCCATTCCATCACTCCAACATGTCGTGTGGAACAAATGTACATTGTGATTCACGCTATCATTCGCCTTCTGACGTGCTTCATAATGATTTTGATGAGGTGAAGTTATACGATCATTAAGTTTCATTGTGCGTTAAACCTGGTATTTTTTGATGCCGATATTTTCAAGAATGAATTTTGAAAATTCTTCACAGCTGGAAGAATTTACGACTTCCACACTGAAGTATTATATCATATCGTTCATTTACTGACATGATTCCGACGATCTCTACATGGAGAAAATACAAATTTCAAAAAAAAAAGAAAAACAAACTGAAAGAAATCATTAAATTCCATCGTGTAAAATGTTTCCGATAAACTCTCATAGAAATAATTTTCAAAAAGTAAAAAAGATCTACGAAAACCAGAATTTGCATGAAATCGCTCGGCAACTTCCTACGAGCAGCTAAGACAGTAAAGATAATAGCGAAGGTAGTAATTTGATAGTTTGACAATTACGGCAGTTTAATAGCAAGGTTGAGTTAGTGGAAGAAGAGCGAACAAAGGAGTGCGAGTAATGAGGACAAAACTGATAATTTACAAGCAATATTTGAATCTGATGACTCAGTGAGTGAAAATTGATGTAAAGTTTTAGGTAATTATTGCCGGAGCAGTATCGATGGACTATGGTGCATCCAAATAAATGCTTTCTAAATATTGCTGGAATTTGTTCCTTTTTTGACAAGTGCACCTTAGCAAGTGATAATTATTCTTTCTTTGCACATCATCATCAACTTTCTTATTTGAGTGTCTGTCATTTCAACATTCATTTGTTGCAAATATTGATCAGCTCTTACAAATATCCACATTAGACGATACTATATACTACTCATCAGCTTCGTTTAACGAACACATCCTTCCTTCATTTCTTTCCTTACTATTTGAAATGCTAAGCGCTTGAGCATTTCTTTTGACGCTATGAACTGATCAGTTCAATTTTACATATGCTCTTATCAATCGTTGTTTGATAACTACTAATTGGTAACAAAATGTGTGGTCTTCTTGTTTTAGTGCAGCGCACATTTCAGGAAGTTATCCTAAAAGTTACCAACCGTATCAATAACAAATTTGATCCGATTATGCTGCATCTACATATACATATATGAATATATTCGAATGAAGTTATCTGGTTGAGAATTCGTACAGGATCGTGCATATAGTATGCATATCCGTCTCACTGAACAAATCAAGCAACGAATTAAAGAGAAGCAAACGTAATACGAACAAATGAAATGCACTTCAACAGCAAATTCAATCAGTTGTTCGCTTGCTTCGAATTTACGTGTTCGTGAATCGCAAAGTTATTCCAAGTGGAAACGAAACGTTTAACGATTAAATGAGTGAAAACAATCAATACTTCTCCTCACATCGATGAGCACTAAATGAGTTACGCGTAAAGAATCATTTATCAAATCGCATTTTGTTCAGAACAACGATGCGGAATGATTTTATGCAAAATAAAGCTTTTGAGTGCAAATATTCCCACGTATCAAATCGTGAAAAAAAAATCATCAATTAATCGACAGTGTCATGATCAATAGCGCTTTTTGGGTGTGCATCATCAAAGTAAATCTTTTTGTCGAGAGCATCTTTATAACCTCATCATATTTTAGAATGTTTGAACATGTTTTTATCAGCAGCAGATAATCTATAATAATTTCTTGCTTAAATACGCAGCTCCTATTTTTGATCCTCTTTGGGTCTATGCTGTTTGAAAGCACAAACATTATCAAATTTCAACCATATCTTCAGAAAGTATGTGGATGAATCCGAAAAGGCTTCAGCAGCATTGTCGACGGAATAGCTTCGACTCTAGATTCCAATCAACGTTTCACAACGATAAGAACTGGACTGTGAAAATTCCAAATATTCTCAAGTATAATACAGAAATAGAAATGATCAGATAAATTTCGCAAAATATCTCTGTACATATATGTGAAAAGTAATCGTCGTTTAGACTGGAAAAGTATTAGCAAAAAGTTTTACTGATTCCATCATCGATTGATTGTAAGCTGAATAAATCTTAGAAGGTTTGCTCAAGTGAAATGCAGCGTTGATCTTTCATAATATCGGCGAAAAGCTAACATAGTACAAAAAAAAGCAAATGTTGTAAATTTTTAACACCATTTTTTGTTGCTGTTGGGTTTTTGCTTTAATGATGAGTTAATTTTTGGATGATTACTGTAATTATCGCTTGAAAATTTTGCATTGATAAAAGCAGTTGATATAGAATAGCAAACAGAAATATTCTCTACTGAACCAATGGGCATAATTAAGCGGAATTACTGGTACATATGGCACAATAATGATGCAGCAGACAATAACTGAAGGAAAAAATGCATAAACGCTAATCAACTGATTCATAAAAGTCTCTTATAGAACCAATAAATTTTTCAAAAATTAGTAATAACAGTAACATCCGTTCGCAGCAAAATCCGGTGCAAATGATAGCAATATGCTGCCCCAACTAATGTCGGCGAGGGGTGATAAGATTGAAAAAAGCAGACAGAAATCGAAAAAGAACAGCAAATTATCGGCATCATTGTACATAAACAGCGATATCATATCAAGCGAATCAGTCGTATAATATGTGGACCAGTAAAATGCGAAAAGGTAAGGTAAATTTTTCATCCCATTTTTCTACCTAATTTTAATGAATGGTTATAGTGATTTTTTTAAGGATATAAAAGTCGGCATCTGAATATTGGGAATAATTACGAGGAAACAATACGTTGTTGATTAGATTCCGAGCTCCAACGATTCTGTTTGCGAAGGAGAATTCTGTTGCGTTTAATTTGCAGTGTTTGATAACGAGTTTAAAGGAATTATTTTAAGTAATTATTGTCAAATTAAGAAACTAATGATGAATTTTTGTATGAGTGAGTACAAATAGCTTATAATCAATTTACCGAAATCGATAAAACATCACAAAACTGATTGGTGATTCTAGCGATAGAAATGAATTCGATCGATAAGGAAAATGTTAAGAAACGGTTGTTCGCTTTCGGGTGCGATTAATTTTCCCGATTTTTAAGCTGTAGAAAGTTTGTTCTGGCATGCCTAAAATATCCTTTTTCTTTAAAGAAACAGTATTTCATCAAATTTAATGAGTAATGACGCATTTAAAACTGATCACGAGTTCCTCAGCGCAGAACTGAAATCATTCTCAAAATTATAACCGCACCGATTGTTGCCTACAAAATAATTGAATGGAATTAATCCGGGTCACCTCCAAGAGATATGGCTTGAAATCAGTAAGGATGAATGCGAATGAGTGTGCGAATATGATAAATAAGCGAATTCTAACGGATTATCAAAGACCGCTCATTAAAAAGCAGTTGGTATGATAAAGGATAAATGTGGAAACTAAACAAATATGGTTATAGAGGAAAAACACAAGGAAGTAAACAAATCGGGGAAAGGTGTTACGAAGTTATTCGCTCAGCTTTCATCGAATCATCAATTTGTGAACGAATCA